GTTGTGCAAGGTTGTTGCTTGCAGAAGAATGCCAAACTTGGGAGTTTTTAAAAACATCAATGCCAAATTTCTTGGACTTGGGCATTCATGAAAACATGAAAGACTGACTATTGTGTTCATTTTGTGCCTGATGTGTTTTTTTTAATAAGCCAAGCTGGTTGGGAGAGTTCATTTTTCCTAGCATTTCCAAGTTGTGCAGAGGGTTGTTGATTGCAGAATACCAAACTTGGGAGTTTTTAAAAACATCAATGCCAAATGTCTTGTACTTTTTGAAATTCAGAAAAATTATTTCCCACCACTAGCATGGCTTATGTAAAAAAAGCACATTAGGCACAAATAATGTGTTTTCTATTTTTTGATGTAAGATCAATTGGTTACATAATGCATAATCCTGAAATTCACCAAATTATGAGAAGTTCACAAACTTTTGAAGCACATATCATTTTTGTCTTCTTCATCACCACAACAAATGTTCATGCTTGTCAATCAAATAATATTTCACCAGAATGCATCATTTTGTAAAAAAAAATCAACTCTGAAAGAAAACTGCAAATAAGAAGTAAAATACTTCACTTGATGGGAAACACTTCTAAAAAGAATAAACTGAACAAGGTTTCACAATGAGAGACAAAATATCAAGGGAAGTCAGTCCACCCACCCTGCCTGATGGAGTGTGTCTGTGAGGTGTCTCCCAAGAGTTTCACAATGATAGAAGAAATAAGCAAGTCAGTCCACCTACACAACTTTTCCTGAAACTCAGAAAAATCACCAGAAAACATGATGGTGTAAAACATAATTCACCATGAAAGCCAACTGCTAATGTGAATAGAGAATACTTCATTTGATGGAAAGCACTTTTGAAAATAATAAACAGAACAAAGGTTTGACAATGAGAGACAAAATGTCAAGGGAAGTCAGTCCACCCACCCTGCTTGATGGAGCTTCTGAGGGGTTTCATCCCGCCATAAGATTTGTTCAGGCAGAACGGACTCTAGAGTCCAAATTGAGGGAAGAGTACACCCTGCCTGCCACAGTGGCACCCATCGAGGTATAAGATGTAAGAATGCAACACTGGATGAGTACAGAAGTGGTGCTGCAGCATGTACTGTAGGTATAGTAAAGATAGACATATTCGAATTTACTGCTGTGTATGATGATGACGATGATGATGTGGATTTGACGATGACCTCTACCATTCGATTGCAGCATACACTAATACCTTAATGTAGCTGCAATGTATATATACTGTACACTCGTATACATGCATATGGCTCATATATACAGCATGCAGTCATCGTCTTAATTGGTCGACTCACGCCCACTATAGCAGCTGCTGGGTTGAACCAATAAATAATAGAAAAGAAACGAAACGAACTCGAGTGTTACTGGTGGTGGTGGTCATTGATGCGAGAATAAAGAGAAGAATGGGAGGACATCATCAATGAAGCAGAGCACAGCAATAACAGTATCTACAGAGAGGGTAAGACTGTGCATCAGTATAGCGGACAAGGATGAGAGTTTATGGACGGTGAAGGGGGAGGGGGTTGAGGATATTCAAACGGCTCTTCATTCCACTCCAATAAATCCTGCACCATTCAGCACTGCTGACGACGGCAATAATAATCGAATGGTGCTCTTTTCTCTACAATTTCTCTTCTCACTTTTACCATCCATTTTATTATTATTCTTATACAGTACAGTACTGTATATATTTTGTGGTACATGGATACAGCATCGTGATGCAAATGATTTCAAATCAATAAATAACTAGATGAATAAATAACAGAGCAGAGGGCGGGGAAAGAAAGGAGTGAGTGAGTGAAAGTGATGTGTGTATGTATGTGTGCATGCATGCTATCAATATTATATTGAGGAAACAATTGAGAAGCAGTAGCAGCAGCAGCCAAAAATGCTCAATAAGGACCGCTGGTATGGATATATATATATTACTGTACGGTGTCCAGCAGCATCTACACTAAATTGATAGTCAATCGTGATGAGTGGATGAAAAGTCGGTCATCATCCCTTGGCGGACGGCCTCGTCCGCTTCCCGGTCTTCCCGCTCCATGACCTCGTCTTCCTTGAACAAGAGGTCGCGGGCCTCGTGCAGGTCGTCGTCCCTGCCGTTGGTCACCCACTCGATGACTCGGAAGTAGTCGGCGTGTCGAATGTTCTTCCACCTCAGTTCCTCCACCGTCTTTTTCTGCTTCTTCTTCTTCTTTTCTTGCTGCTGCTGCTGCTGCTCGTGGTCTTTCCCTGATGCTAAAAAATAATACAGTATTGCTCATTTCAATTGATATTATGCAGCATGATGTATATACAGTATACCATTATTATCGTCGTCGTCGTCGGAAAAGTCCAGCACTTGGCCCAGGATGTCATCGAGGAAACTCTTTTCCCCAGCCTGGTGTTGCAGCTGCAGTCTCTGCAAAGTGTCGTCATTCCGTTCCTCGTCGTTCTTTGCTGCTGCTGGTGTTGCAACAACACTCTTCTTCTTCTTTGTCGTTGTCGTCTTCTTTTTCTGCTTCTTCCTCGCCTCCTCCTCGTCCTTCACCTCCTTGTCGTCATTATTATAATGACGATGAGGGCCCTTTTTCGACGAGATTCTCCGCACTCGGCAGCACACGCACTCGATATACTGTATACAGTATATATATTGCACGTACAATACATTTACTGCCTGTTGATAAACAGCAGCAGGCATGCAGGTAAAGAGGACAACTTGTACAAATGTGAATACTGTCGAACAACAAGAAAAGAAAACACGACGAAGTAATAAAGAGAAAATGACGACATGTCTATATACTGTATATATGTATATACGCGTGAGACAATAGTTTTCATTCATCAATTATTATAGTCTTTCACGACGATCTAGGATGATTTCTTATTCTTATTGGCACCACCAGCAGCAGCAGCTACTTGGTCGTCGCCTTCGTCGTCGTCCTCTTCAGAGTCGGTGTCGTTGTCAAACAGGATGCTCTTGGCCACTTCCGGTCTGCCCGCGGGCTCGTCGCTGTTGATCCAGTCGAGCAACGAGTTGTACGACTTCTTGTCCAGGGCGTTCTTCTTGGGCTTGTCCTTGCGACGCTGGGCCTTGTTGGCCAATTTCTGTCGTTCCTGCTCTTCCTTTTCCCTCATTTCCTGCTGCTGCTGCTTCCTCCTCCTCCTTCCTTCTTCTTCTTGTTGTTGTTTCTCTTTTTCCAGTCGTCGTTCTTCTTGTTCTTTTTCCTCTCGTTGGCGTTGATGTTCTTTTTCTTCTTGCTCTTGCTGTTCCTGTTGGACAAGACGAGCTGCCTCGGCTTCTGCATCAGCATCGTCATTATTTTTATTTGATTTCCGAGTCCGTCTCTTATTATTGCTGGGCTCAGCATTCGCGTCATCGGAAGCCCCTGGGCCGAGGCGCATTTGCCGGATCCTGGTGGCCGTGTCCACAGCACCACCACCACCACCACTCGACTCATTATTACTCCTGCAACACAAACGAGGACACATCAAATACACAGAGAGCTATGCTGATGCAGAAGCCGAGGCAGCTCGTCTTGTCCAACAGGAACAGCAAGAGCAAGAAGAAAAAGAACATCAACGCCAACGAGAGGAAAAAGAACAAGAAGAACGACGACTGGAAAAAGAGAAACAACAACAAGAAGAAGAAGGAAGGAGGAGGAGGCAAGTTATCGAGCATCTGGGATTTAAAGGTACAGTACAACGTTTGCCGTCTCTTCAATTACCAAATGTCGAATTTCCTTCCAGATTGAAAGCCTTTCACTGAATGATGCAAGTGACCTCAAGCAAATGTCTGACTCCAATTCCTCACCATCCTATCCTGCTAGTAGTATGAATGATATGCACGTCTGGCGACGTAAAAAACTGGTTTATTAAAATAATACCAGGTGAAGTTAAAAATCAGTGAAAGAGAAAATGTTGCTGATCGCGTTGACGAACATGGCATTCTGCACAACCTACCCAGTTGGAACCCCGAAATTAATTCGGAAAATCAATAGCAAGGCTCAGTCCGGAGAAGTTGAAACCCCCGAAGCAATCCGCTTATTATGTTACATTGCAAAAGAATGGCAGCAACGCTTTTGATTGGCCACCCAGGAAAAGCTTTGCAGAACGTCAATCGCAAACTTGTTCACCTATTCGGGTCTGCCCATTCTTTCAGACACGTGAAGCAATCTGTAGCTTGCTTGGAATTAGCTTTGATCTCGTCTTTCAACCACATCTGGAAAAGATCTCCATCCTTCTTGAAAACTAAGAACAGTCCGAACAAAACATAGGCTTTGTCGTAGCCTTTGGCAACTAGGCGATCTCCGAGCACATCGCCGATACCAGTGACTGCGGTAACTGGTTTGTCACCCATGGGTTCATTAGCGAAATTACGAAGCTTCGGTGAAGTACTCATCTTCGGAACAGACCAATTTCCAGCAAGCCTGAAATTTGGGGAAAAGTCAATAGCTTGAACGCATTTCTCGGCGAACGATCATTTAGTATGACTCCCGCGTGGGCCCATAGGCACCGCCATCATGGCCCGCGCAAAAGGCCTAAACGCAACATCGACTGTTTTTCTTACTTTGTTACGCCGCACCAATCCGAACCTGCTGACGCAATGTACACGCGCGCTTGCGTCAACCGACTCGTGCCCATACCCCTGAGGCGATAGAGAGCCTCACTTTGTCTATAGCTCCCAAACCAAACGGTCGTCACGCGAACCAGTGCCTTTTATCGTGCGTACTGTGTATTGTCATATTTATAATCCGCTATTGAGTGAGTGCCAATAAACCGCTACCGTTGTGTTCCACTCTGTGTATGTGTTAGTGCAAGAAGGTGCCAGCGCCTGATTGTGTGTGTAGAGACTAGAAAGTCTTACTGGGGGCTCAGCTGCGCGAAACGAACCATGGCAAACCCAAATGAGCTAATTGTGCAAAGTGATCTGGACAAACTGTCCCCAAGTCCCTCAAGCAATTCCGCATTGGCGTTCGCCCAAAGCTATCGCAACAACAACCAATGGGCACATCTCATGCTCCCAGCCATACGATCGTACTGTGCGTCCGCACAAATCCCACATCTGGGGAACCGAGACAAACTCGTCGCAGTGCTCCAGGCGCGAGGCGTACAGCCCATCAAAGTGCTACAAAACACGACACCGGGTCCCTTGGCCAATCCCTCCGCCGCAGAGCTCACCGCCAACATCACCGAAACGCTGCTCCGACGCTGGGCAGACTTCCCAAAACAGGCCCAAGGAGAGGACTTCAAAGTCTACCTCCGACGACTGATAGCCTTCAGTCACCACGGGACGTCAAACAATACCAAAATCGACTGCCTGATCGGGCACACGACGCCTACAGTCGCGGCGGCCGCCCAACGCCTGTACGACAAGGGTTACCACAATTACGACGACATTGCCGATCTGCTCAAAATACAGTTCGGGCTCTTGCCCTTCGAACATTTCACGCGATTTCTCGCCCTACGTCCACTCGAAGATGAATCATGGGCACAGTTCGGAAATCGCCTACGATGCAAATACATTCGCTACCTACCGCTCAGCGCAACCGACCTACCCGGACAGGAGAAATCCATCACAGCCGCCCTCATCGGGCAACTCCTAGCGATCACCACCGGAGGGCTCCATGCCCATCTCTATTCCAAGGCGACCGCCGATCAAACCCTAACATGGGTCAACTGCCTCGCATACGCAGACGAATATCGCCGCATGCACCCCAATACACCACGAGCATCACCTGCTCCACAGAACCAACAACAAACCAACCGATGACCGAAAACCACGGCGTCTGGCGTACAAAAACATTACTGTGACCACCATCAGCGGTACGTCCTACACACGACCGCAGAATGCTTGCTCGGGCAGAACCCACGGCCCAACACGGCCACGGGGAACCAATCACCACAAAACCTGCAATCGTGTACCTATCACCCAGGCCGCCTGGTCGCACACTCGACAGCAGAATGCCGAAACAACCCGGCCAACCAGGTAAACACACCTAACACGCAAACAGTCCAGCCGACTAAATGTGTGCAATGTGGACTTACAGGTCACACGGCGGCAAATTGCCTGAACCAGGGAAATGCCAAGATCAGGCAGTGACGGCTGTCCTCTGCTCGATCCCCCAAGATACAGACGACAGCCTCACGATCATCATCGGAATCAAGAACAAACGCGTTACAGCGCTGATCGACACTGGAACCACCAGGTCATTCATGGCGACCGACGTCGCAGCCAAAGTAGGGCTCACACCCCACCCGACGAAAGCAAAGATCTCCGCAGCCGTCTTACACATCTCCGCCGACATCAGCCCCTCGGTAAGTACCACCTTTTCACTTGGTTCAGCCGACTACTCAGCGACCTTCTTTCTCCTTGCAAACGCGAGATACCCCATAATTCTCGGCCTCGACACACTAAAAAACCTCCCGTTTTGTGTAACGCTCGACGGCCAACAAATCTTTTCCGGGTTCCAAACTATAAAACCCATAAACGAGATACCACAAGCCGAACCCGGCGAAGGAATTACGTTTGTAAACAGCTCCCCCGCAGAACAGAACGCGATCGCCAAACTACTGACCACATACAAAGACAACATCTTTCAATGGTCAGGAAAACACGGCCTGTTCCCCCAACACGTCGCATCCCTTCTGCATCAGCATCGTCATTATTTTTATTTGATTTCCGAGTCCGTCTCTTATTATTGCTGGGCTCAGCATTCGCGTCATCGGAAGCCCCTGGGCCGAGGCGCATTTGCCGGATCCTGGTGGCCGTGTCCACAGCACCACCACCACCACCACTCGACTCATTATTACTCCTGCAACACAAACGAGGACACATCAAATACACAGAGAGCTTAGTGAATGATGCATGGAACTGCATTCGTCAATGCTTGGTGGACACGACGAGATGCTGCTGATGCAACCCTTCCTTATTATTGCTTGTGCTGTGAGAGTATATGCGCGTTGGAAAATCGCCATATTTGTGTGCCGTGTGCCAAGTGCTGCATGCAGTACTTTCAGAGAAACTGGCTTTCGTCGTCTTATAGTCTCTTGAACTTGATCGAATGATGCACGCTAGACTTGTTTCAGCGAGAACAACGTGACTTACGGGAAAGAAACAGGTTTCATTATTATTATTATTATTTACGATTCCTTTTCTTCAACTTTTGTGGCCGCGGTTTTTTTTTTTTATTTTACTTAACTTGCAAATGATCGTTTGCCGAGAAATGCGTTCAAGCTATCGACTTTTCCCCAAATTTCAGGTTTTTTTTTTTTTTTTTTTTTTTTTTTTTTTTTTTTTTTGCTTTTACTCGGGTGAAGGTCTCGATGCATATACTGATGATGATTGCACTTTATATATTCTGCTGCATGCTGCTCGATTACAATTCACGCTATGTAATGTACATAATTATATCGTCTTACTTTACAATATGACTTATGTACAGTAACACATACAATAACACGACGTGTTTAATATTGAGAGCAATGATACGTTTCCATCAGCATGAGTTTCAAAGTCGTGTTTTTTCTCATTTTTGAATTTTGAGGAGAGCACACACACAGCGAGAGAGAGAAACCTTTTCAGCTAAAATAGGCACACGTAAACGATCAGCTCATGTTGCACTTGATTCATTAGATTCCAGTTTTCTTTATTTTCATCTTTTTTTTTCAGGGAAGGTCATCAGCGAGAATGCTCAGCGTCAAGAAAGCCAACCTCAACACAAATTTTGAAGTTGAAAAAACGGTTTTTCAAAAGAAATGCGTCAGAGTTTCTCACTTTTAGTACATCTAATATCACAGAGAAGAAAACGTTCTTTTCACCGCCACACTTGCTCGGTCGCGATGCTGCCATTTTCACAATCGCTGCCATAATGTAGAAAGAATCTGATTCTGAGAGGATCCCGAAAAGTTCGTCAAGCCCTTGAAGCTCTAGGCCGTTTTCTGTCACAAAGGAAAGTGGATAAAACTTCAAAAATGCGTTCAATTCCTTGCACGAGTAGAAAAACAGTAAATTACCATTTGTAGAACTTATCCGCCAGTTTCTGGCGCCAGATAACTGGCGGATAAGTTCTCCAAACTTGTCCGCAGTTTATCCAAAATTGGCGGACAAGTTTGGGGAACATGTGGATTTAGCTTGTGACTTGTCTCCACAAGCTAAATCCACAAAAACCAAACAAGACTATGTGAAGGGGTCTATGGCTGTATGGCTAAGGCGCCAGACGCTCATGCAGGAGTTCCTGGGTTCAATCCCTGGAAGAAATAGGACATTATTTAAGAGGTGAGATAGGAAAATATAGAACTCTAGATATAAATATTCAGGGTAAGTTATATACAGGTGTAATTAGCATGCTAGATATAATAATCTGTAAAATAAGATAGTTAAGATGATAGTAGGAATGATATAATTCACCATTAATTACAGGCAAATTAATTCAGCTTGTATAAAATGTAATTTGTAGAGACAGAGAAGCTGACAATATGAAAATTGAACTGGAAAACTTTTATTCCAATATTATTTTAATTTAAAAAAAATATATATATATATATTTGGAGGGAACTGGAACAGTTTTTGGATAAAAATCGGACATATTGTCTGATTTTTATCGAAAAGTTGTCCCAGTTCCCTCCAAAACGGGTCCGTTTTTTATCCAAAACACGTCCGTTTTTGATCCAAAAGTCATCCACTTTTGGATGACTTTTGGATCAGAATCGGACATGTTGTCCGATTTTCATCCAAAGCAACTTGTTCGCAACTTGTTCTTTTTTGGCAAGATTTGCGGAAAAGTTGCTCTGGATGAAAATCAGACCCAAAACGGACATTTTCATGCTCACTGGGAAATGGAAGACCTACTGCGTTCATATCATTCATACTACTAGCAGGACAGGATGGTGAGGAATTGAAGTCAGACATTTGCTTGAGGTCACTTGCATCATTCAGTGAAAGGCTTTCAATCTGGAAGGAAATTCGACATTTGGTAATTGAAGAGACGGCAAACGTTGTACTGTACCTTTAAATCCCAGATGCTCGATAACTTGCCTCGATAAATTTAAATTTTTGGAGCTATCCTACCAAGAACGTTCAGTGTGCCGTTCTTAGCGACATCTATATAGACGTAGTTTTGCGTTTGGGTCCCCCCAACTAGGATAGCTCCATTTTTCACTTACGAAATCTGACCATCACTTCGGATACACAGGACTGAGGAGCAGTCTGAATTATAAATAACAAAAATATGCGACCTAATCTAACCTAACCACAAACGCCCAAAGCTCAACAAATCGTAGTCCATCTCGAACAGAATAAAACGTAAGATTTTGGCGACACTTGCGGTAACAGCGAAGAAAATCAGGGAGTCACAAAATTGGAATGTTCCAGAGAAAATGGAAAATTCAGTAAATATTTAGTGTAAATGCGATGCTTTACAAACGGGTTGACTGAAATGAGCCACAGAAAAAGACGATATAAAATAAATATGATAAATATGGGTCGAAAAAAAAGAAGTAACAAGAATGCGTCAATAGTTATTTTACTTTTCTGCTAGATGCAACTACCCTAGGAAGATAAAGCCTTCGAAAAATGTTTACGCAATTCGCCCGTCAGCAGAATATTTCATGAAAGCCAAGTATTGCACCATGAAAATGTGAAGAAAAATTGAAGGAAAAGTAAACGTATGCGGAAACTTTAGCGATACTCACAATTATTTCCAAGTGTGCTTCAATCCTGAGCCGCGCAACTAACGCCAAGTGAAGATACAGCGAGTGATTTTCATAAAGACATGTTCTCAACTTGCGCAGGACTGCGGATAGGTACAATTTTCCTTTATCGTGATCAAATGTTGCAACGGTATAAATTCTCGAACGCCGTAAACTTTCGCCCCATCGATACACTCATCCTCGATGACCGAGCGGGCTCGTTCTACGGACCACGCTTGCGTTTCAAACTTCTTGGAATCTTCTTTCAAAATTTTTGCTCGTGCTACTGCTGCGATCAACGGCGAACGGCTTGTCAGATAAGCTGAAACGAGTTCGAACAAGGGTTCACGATCCACTCGGGCTTGGCTGGCTACAAATGAAGACTCAAAAAAGTCGTTTCGTTCCAACTGGATATTCTGATGAAGCGCCAGTAATTCTGGCAATGGCAGAGGTGTGGTACTCCTTTCTGTCGGAGCGGATTCCTCTGCACTATCATCGTAAACAACGCTCAAGGTGACAACATCGGCAACATTTTCAATGCAGTTTAATGATACTGTATATCAATTTATAAAATATTAAATTCGAGAAATTGCAAAAATAATTCACAAAAGAGAACATATTAATTTACAACCTAATCTAAAAGGAAGTTCACACAGTGAAACTCATTTTCGAAGTCTTGAAACATTAACCCATTTTTTTCACATCGATACCAAGTATTGAAAATTGAATTTAAAAGATGTTGTACGACGTGGTATACCCTTCCTACAATTTATAATCGGTCGAACAACAAAATCCCATCATACAGTTTATTTCCGAATACCTGCTACATTGCCATAGCTGGGGATTTTTTGTATCAGTGGAATTTCCTCCAGCACCCTCTTTCGTACACCCCATTTACTGAAGCATTAAATGTGCACGTCTGGCGACGTAAAAAACTGGTTTATTAAAATAATACCAGGTGAAGTTAAAAATCAGTGAAAGAGAAAATGTTGCTGATCGCGTTGACGAACATGGCATTCTGCACAACCTACCCAGTTGGAACCCCGAAATTAATTCGGAAAATCAATAGCAAGGCTCAGTCCGGAGAAGTTGAAACCCCCGAAGCAATCCACTTATTATGTTACATTGCAAAAGAATGGCAGCAACGCTTTTGATCGGCCACCCAGGAAAAGCTTTGCAGAACGTCAATCGCAAACTTGTTCACCTATTCTGGTCTGCCCATTCTTTCAGACACATGAAGCAATCTGTAGCTTCCTTGGAATTAGCTTTGATCTCGTCTTTCAACCACATCTGGAAAAGATCTCCATCCTTCTTGAAAAGTAAGAACAGTCCGAACAAAACATAGGCTTTGTCGTAGCCTTTGGCAACTAGGCGATCTCCGAGCACATCGCCGATACCAGCGACTGCGGTAACTGGTTTGTCACCCATGGGTTCATTAGCGAAATTACGAAGCTTCGGTGAAGTACTCATCTTCGGAACAGACCGATTTCCAGCAAGCCTGAAATTTGGGGAAAAGTCGATAGCTTGAACGCATTTCTCGGCAAACGATCATTTGCAAGTTGAGTAAAATAAAATAAAAAAACACACAAAATGTAAAAATAAAATACCAGAAGCCGAACATTTTTATTGGAAAAAAAAAACTAAAATGCAATCTGCTCGATTCCAAGCAATCCAAAAGAAAGTAGAAGCATGAATCTCGCTTCTATTCGTACACTGAAAATTTCTCAGCACCTGAAAACAAAGCACAGTCATCGATAGTCATGCACAGGACACATTCTCAACGGATTCGTCCGGTGTGGCAGGCAGGGCGTACTCTACCCTCGTTTTGGACTCTAGAGTACACCCTGCCTAGGCAGGGTGTACTCTAGAGTCCATCCTGCCTAAAGGCAGGGTGGACTCTGGAGTCCGTCCTGCCTGAACAAATCTTATGGCGGGATGAACCCCTCAGACACTCGATTAAGCAGGGTGGGTGGACTGACTTCCCTTGATATTTTGTCTCTTATTGTGAAACCTTTTTTCTGTTTATTANCCGATTCCAACAAAATTCCCGCGTCTCCATTGAAATTTTCGATTATTCCAGAGAGGCAGTCGAGAGTTTCCGCAGTGGCCAAATTGATTTCATCGAGCAAAATCCAGTCTCCGTTTCGCAGGGCCTTGACGAGACTGCCTTCGACGAAAGCGAAGGCAAGATTCGAGTCCATTCGTTTCAGTTGCACCGTCAAATGCTTCAGCTTCTCGTTCAGCTTTTCCCAACGCATCGCTGTTGTTTCGGACCCGGATTCCTTTCGGAGCTTTTCCAACGCGGGTTTCACCGGGTGAGACATGAGAGCAACCAGGTCTGACCATCGTCCAACCAAATAGCAGCTCTGATGATCAAGCGATAACAATACGCATTCACGGATGGGTTCCACATTTCACAAATTTCCTCTCAAAAAATGTTTAAATCAATTTTGTTTTAAATACAGTAATTGATAATTTTTTGAAAAGAAGTGATGCCATCGTAGTGCGCAAAAAAAATACTCAATCGACACAAGTGAACTATTGCATTAAGATTCAAGGCTGAAATTTTCCGTACAATCAATTCAATCCAATCCCGGGATGCTAAATTAAATTTCTGCAATCACTTCCTTTTTCAGACTGGATCATCAACACGTATTTCAAAAAATTGAACATCGTAAATATGAGCAGATGGACATTTTTACAGAGTTTATCTGCAATTATTAAGAGGTGATTTCCATAAAAAAATGTATGCTTCAACGCTGAAAAAGACTTGGGGCATTGTCGACCAATTACAGGAGCTAACAATATTTTGCTCGCTGAAGGGTCCCCAGCGATATCCCTCAAATACAATTTTAAACCTATAGGAATTTAATTTTTCAGGCCTCACGCAATTTTTCCACAATGAAGATACAATATTACACAAATTAAATTCGAAAGAATAAATCAATGCTTATGTTGTCGTTCACTTGATGGAACTATGTCGCGTGGAATTTTTCCGCTCAAGGCGAAATCTTGACCTGGAAGCCTGAACTTAACTGATGATATTTTGCCACAACTTTCATTCTTCTGCAATTATGGTCTTCACGAGTTAGCAGTGGGTCTTAGAAAACGACGAGAATAATAATAGAAGACGCTGAAGATATTCCCTGTTCGAATTCCATTAGAAAAAATGCATTAAGAATTTCCTCAACTCGAAGACTTCCCTCCTCATTCCTCCAGAACTCGAATTTCCCGTAGAGCTTTCAACTATTATTTTATTGAAGCACGGGTATAAAAACAATAAAATATAGAACTTGATCTGTTTTGAAAGGAAGCAAACCCTTGCCTTCAAGTCCAGAATCCTGTCAACTCATTTGAGAAGCAATTCATGGAATAGAATATCACCAATTAAAATTTACAGTAATTTTTCTTTAATTCTCCTAACAAAAATGATCGTTTCCTTCCTCAAACCACCTTAACTCGAATTTTTTGGCTGGTCCCCGGAAATTTGTCTCAGATAAATTCCAGTGTTTAAAAAACAAATTTAAAAACTCACTGATACATAATGCAGGAAATTCGCATTCTTGTCGCCACTAAAAGTTGCATAAAACAACTCTTCGAATTCTTCTCTGACTGGGCGAACAGTGTGCTTGAATTCTAGAGGCTTGTAACCTCCGAGAAGATCCATGGCATCGCTTTGCTGGTTGATGTTGACGACGGTCAGTCGACGGCCGGTTTCACGGGCCAAGAATTGAACCGACGCCGTCTTCCCAACTCCCGTTTCTCCGACAAGCAAGACTGGCTCCGCTCGAGAAATACACGCAGCCACAGACTCGAGCAATCTTCCCGCTGGTTTTGTCAAACAGTACACGGCCTTTTNCTCACGCAATTTTTGCACAATGAAGATACAATATTACACAAATTAAATTCGAAAGAATAAATCAATGCTTATGTTGTCGTTCACTTGATGGAACTATGTCGCGTGGAATTTTTCCGCTCAAGGCGAAATCTTGACCTGGAAGCCTGAACTTAACTGATGATATTTTGCTACAACTTTCATTCTTCTGCAATTATGGTCTTCATGAGTTAGCAGTGGGTCTTAGAAAACGACGAGAATAATAATAGAAGACGCTGAAGATAGTCCCCGTTCGAATTCCATTAGAAAAAATGCATTAAGAATTTCCTCAACTCGAAGACTTCCCTCCTCATTCCTCCAGGACTCGAATTTCCCGTAGAGCTTTCAACTATTATTTTATTGAAGCAGGAGTATAAAAACAATAAAATATAGAACTTGATCTGTTTTGAAAGGAAGCAAACCCTTGCCTTCAAGTCCAGAATCCTGTCGACTCCTTTGAGAAGCAATTCATGGAATAGAATATCACCAATTAAAATTTACAGTAATTTTTCTTTAATTCTCATAACAAAAATGATCGTTTCCTTCCTCAAACCACCTTAACTCGAATTTTTTGGCTGGTCCCCGGAAATTTGTCTCAGAGAAATTCCAGTGTTTAAAAAACAAATTTAAAAACTCACTGATACATAATGCAGGAAATTCGCATTCTTGTCGCCACTAAAAGTCGCATAAAACAACTCTTCGAATTCTTCTCTGACTGGGCGAACAGTGTGCTTGAATTCTAGAGGCTTGTAACCTCCGAGAAGATCCATTGCATCGCTTTGCTGGTTGATGTTGACGACGGTAAGTCGACGGCCGGTTTCACGGGCCAAGAATTGAACCGACGCCGTCTTCCCAACTCCCGTTTCTCCGACAAGCAAGACTGGCTCCGCTCGAGAAATACACGCAGCCACAGACTCGAGCAATCTTCCCGCTGGTTTTGTCAAACAGTACACGGCCTTTTCCCTCCTATTAAGAAAAAAAACTTCATAATCGTATGCGTTCACAAGCGACACTTTCATGACTAAAATTGTATTCAAAATTCTCATGTAGAATTAGATAAACAAAAGAAAATGTTTCGATCCATTACCAATTCGAAAAATTGAAGAGAAACTGCACAGAATCGAAAGGCATTTACATATAGAATGTATCACGAATATTCCGTCAACGTCATTAAAGGTTCACGGAAAGAGTCATTAAACTCATGAACTGACAGCCACCAAAAAGGGCTCTTTCGAATCAACACATACGGAAGATTTCCTCTGAAGAAATAACAAGTCACACGGAGGAATAAGACATGTCTTCGCATCACAAAAACGCTTCCGGAAGTCATATTTCGTATGTTACAACATTTTGTCGTCCAACTCTCGTGCATCACTAAACATCTTCTCCGATTAAAAAAATAATAATAAATGTAACAAACCTCAGGATAGAATCATTAGCAATTTTGCCCGACTGCGATAATGTGACTCGCCCGATCGTCAAGCCATCAGCTTGATAATGCAACGAAGGCTTGTTCACCAAAAGCACGAATTCAACCTTCGCTTTCGGGATGTTCAATCGGGCACCGATCGCTTCGGCCACGTTGAGACGACTTTCCATTGACGGCAGAGAGAAACAAAAGCATTCTAGTGCTTCTTGAAACACCCTCAGGGTACAGGTTTCCGACTGAACGTCGAAATAGGTTGAGATCCGTTCGCACCATTTCATCAAATCACGCGTGGAAAACAGACGGCCGAACGAAATTTTCTTCGGAGCTTCCGAGAAATCATGGGCTTCTTCCAGATCGTTGATGTGCTGACCGGATTCAGACATGAGGAGGTATACCGAAAGCAGCCTTGAACTGACTGTGATCAAACCTGGAAACTGTAAAAATTTGAAATGTAGTTAAGCAATCAAATTCCAAATACAGTTCACTATAAAAACAATACGTCACCGAGCCACGAAACTAACCCGCATATCCACAATTTGCTTCAGCTCAGATGCAGGATGTGATTGCACAAGAATCTTGACGAATAACTTCTCCACGTTCGTCCAACTTGACATTCCTCCGTGACCAGAAAGCAATGAGGACTTTCCACTGATTCTGCACACGCAAGATATCATATGACAATGAAGTAACTGTCACGATAAACAATTACCTCCGAGTGGCAAAAATCCTGAAGCTTTCGTGAACATCCACCATGTCCCCACGGCCAGGAATATAGAGCTTCCGCGACTCCAATAACGGTCGAAGACACGAATGCAAATCCGGAGGGCCACAGTCTAAATCTTCCATCAATAGCCACGCTCCGTTTAACGCAGCCTACCCGAGAAATTTTCAATAATTAAAATATATAAAATTGCCGGAAAGGAAAACTTTACTTGTGTTAGAATGCCAGGATGCCAAACGAACTGCCCAGGAATATCCGCACATCGATACGATCCAAGTAGGACACGTGTGTCAGTCTGCTCACTGATTTGAATCGCGTAGAATCTTGGATCAACCACGCGTCCTAGAACGAACGACATTTGCAGGATTTGTGGATACAGCAAATTTATTTCTGACTTACCACAGTTTTTCGCTATTTGACGAACAATGGACGTTTTCCCGCAGCCGACCGGACCCTGGAGAAGCATCGGACTGGAAGACGTGATGTTTAGACATAGCGAAGCCAGTGCATTTCTCGTAGAGCACACGTCCACGATCTCTCCGAGCTGCGACATCACAATGAAATGAATTGATTATTCTCATAACATTCAATAAATGGATTTTTCGGTGGGTCACCTCTCGTGTACAAGTGCCCAATAAATAATACACCAGATACTTACATCGTATTTTCGGCCCGATGCAACAAGTAATGGAACATCCGTTGGAGTAGAGCGTTCGAAGTCGTTCGATGGATCAGAAATATCATGACGAATCTTGAAGTCGGATATTTCCGGAGCCGAAAGCCCGATGTTCTCCAAGGCGTTCCACTCAGCCGTTCGGTCCAGAAAAATACTGGACACGTCCAGAATCAACTCATTCACAGACTTTCTACCCGTAGGTTTTTCTGTGACTCGCAGTTTTTTACGCGGAACAGAGCCGTCGCGTATTTCAGCCGTTTTCGAAGTTGGTTTTTTACGCTTCATGTTGTGCGTGGACATTTTAGTCGCGTTTGTAAGCTAGGTAGTTGTCAAAAATGCCAAAATGGCGCTGCCTCGTAGAAAGGCGTGGTTGTCAAGTATTATAAGCGCTGCTTGTAGTGCCGTGGTCTTCATGTCGCATAAATTTCGCCACGCACACTCTCTGGCACCCGGCGCGCGTTTTTACATGCCGGTCAGGGAGGTGACACATTAGTATTTTGCCGGCAAAATAGTCAGAGCCGAAGTAGTAGTCAAAGAGCATGAGTATGCTCTTCTCGAGAACTAGTTGGAGGCTACAATAAGAGCAGTTATGAAGTCGAACATNTAGGTAAAGTTAGGTTAGGTCAGGTTATGTTAATTAAAATATATTTGTAACTAACATAACCTGATCAGTTTCAGCAGAATGCAGAAAATAAAATTCACAGTTTCTGGTAGGTTCTTGTGATTATGAACTTGTCCTAAAGATTTGTCTGGATGGTAGTGCAGTCTAGGAATGAGGTACAGAGATAACAGGAAAGTACTGTATTGAATATTAGGTTATCTTCCTACTCCTACACAATTCTTCAACATGTAATTCGTATCTGCAAGCATGCGCAGTTCATGAAGTCACTCATTTTTGGCGTTGAGGGATGGAGTGGTAGGGAACAGCCCTCTGGAGGGGCAGCGTGGAAGTGAGTTGCGTCGAGTTTGAAAGTGTACCATAACGTCCGGTCACCAAATTTCGCCACGCACACTCTCTGGCACCCGGCGCGCGTTTTCACATGCCGTTCTGGGAGGTGACACATTAGTATTTTGCCGGCAAAATAGTCAGAGCCGAAGTAGTAGTCAAAGAGCATGAGTATGCTCTTCTCGAGAACTAGTTGGAGGCTACAATAAGAGCAGTTATGAAGTCGAACATTTTACACATAACATGATGACAGTGCAGATGTGCATGTACTCTTTTCATAAAGCACTGCCATGTCAATAGTTTTAAACGCATAAAAGTACTATAATTAGATTTCAAATAAATACAGCTCAATATAATAACACTCTATTAAATATCCAGCAACATTCCCTGGACTGCTGGGTCTGATGAATTTTGACCAAAACCAATATACAGTATGGCTTAAAATATTATCAACAAGCCTCATTGTTCTACATTAGTATCATCGCTATATAGTGGGCATATACAGCCTGGAATATGCAGCAGTATCAAACTTTATTTGGTGAAGATGTTGGCAGTTGTGAAGCTTGGCAATTTATCTGAAATACCTTTTCCAAACATTTTTGGATATGCAACATTATTTTGAATAGTGCAGTAATTTAATGTTTATGCACTCTCCCAGTAGAATATTGTATAATTTTAATTGAATATAACAAATAAGGTTCTTTCAAGAAGGGAATCCCTTTTATGCAATCACCATCGTATGTCTCAAGAGTGTTAAGACATATGATGGTGTAGAAACTTGAGTATTGAACTTATAAATTCATAATTTCAGTACTCAAGTTTCCAAATACTGTATTAGCTTGTTTATAAAGGAAACAAATCAAATAATTGCTTATAATTTTATAAAATGTTCAAATAACTGTCTACACTATATATCAGATCAATTTATATCATCTAACTAAATAATAAAATACAAAGATTATATCAAATACAACGTATTTTATCCACTGTATATTTTAGTAGCGCTCCAATAAACACTGAACAGGAAAAAATTTACTGCTCAATCCAAATAAATTGACATACCCTTTTAATGATCAAAAATTTCATTTTAGCAGAAAGGAAAAAATTATGCCAGATAGTGGAATTTCTAAAAATGTCAACTTCATTTTTTTTAAAGATGAATGAGGTGCCCAGCCACACCTGCTGGGCATCAACATTTTTCAAAAATTTTAGGAAGTTTGAATTCCTCATCAAGCAGGATCACATGTTATTCTAGTTGTACCATGCATGTCATAATTTTCTCATGAGCAGGGTTTATGCTGCTTGTTAAATCTTGAACAGATGAAAAAGTGTTTAGCATAATGTAGAGCATTGTTCCCTGACAACCTGTGGTCCTCTGAGTGGCACCAGTTGCCAAAAGTGTTCCCCAGTTCATAGCAAAACAATTTACCCTGTAACCATACAAGGGTAAATAATGAGTTGGCAGAGAATCATGGACATTGTCTTGAGACTCTTGACCATGAAATTGTTAAGAAGCACAGATGGGAAAAATTGTGCTACTGCATTACAAAATTAGAACTGTGTTCATTCCCTACATTTTTATACATTATCTCCTATACAGTGCAATGCCCGTTTTAATTATTTCCTTATTCAGAAATATTTTTCTCCTTGCCTCAACTGGATTTTTGGCTCCAAGATCTACATACATTGAGCTTTGGATGTCAAGACACACCTGAGCATCACCGGCAAATGGACCAAAGATTTTTTTTAATGTTCTATAAAAAGAGCAGACATGTGTCAAGGAAAGGTTGCAAAGCCACACTTGTACATCATGGTCAAAATTTGGGACAGATTTTTATAAACAAACCTGCTTTTCCTTACTCCTGGTTACGTGATCAAATTAAACTGGTAATCTTGCATGCTTGCTCAACACATTTTTTATTTGCATCTGCTCAATGCACATGAGCAAAGGACCTTTTGCTGTTATGGACCCTGATCCCACGCTGAATGCCCACTTTGATCTATTCAATTGATGGACATGAACATGGCAGTTTTTGTCAAGTCTTATGGACCCAACATCCCACATTCCCATAGGATATCAGTCACACCCATGAGTGATCATTCACAAAAATACAGTATGTGCAGAACTTTGATATTTCACAATGATAACATCTTACTTGTAAGAGCACATCACATACAATAAGACACTCTTAGGGGATGCCCAGCCACAGCACCTGTAAGCATAATATGTACAACTTTAATTTGTGGTCTGTAATGATTGTCTGATGTTGTACGTTCTTTTTCCATGAATTAGTAATCAACCTTAAATTCAGAATTACACCAAGTGCCAGCAGAAAACTTTGGCTTTGGAGTCCCACTAGAACATTGTGTTTTGGTTTGGACTGAGCCCTTCCAATGAATTTGCCCCAGAGATTTGGAACCTCAAAAGCCAGTCCAATGCTCACTATAGCTGCTACTCCATGGATTTTTATATTTTTGGTCCAGCAGAGTACCATGAAAGCATTCTTTAGATAGGCTAAAACAACTTGCTTTCCCAGTGGCCTTACAATATTCATTGCTTTTTAACATCACTGTCCTAAACTTACAATCTAAAATAACAACAGAAGTGAATTTTGCAAACCTCCAAAATGCCTAAGCATCACTTCAGTCAAAACTTGATTCACCTTATTGTGCAGTTCCACTTCAAATTTTCACGATTTCCCACCCATTTTTATGTAACAAAAACAGTCTATTGTGGATTGATTTTGCATCTAGATACACTGGACCAAGGTTAGTAACTTTGCGAATTTTTTCATAAAAGAAAACATCACTCTATTATTCTTTTTGACCAGAGCCTAGCTCAGGTATGAAGATTCTCCCTCTGCATGGCCGATTTGATTGAAATTCTTGATGCACTACAATTAAGTCAATACTCATTCTCTTCAAAATTGCCAAATAAGATTAATCAACTTTAGCAAGGTAGATCTAAAAACATTTCCCTGGTTCTGGATTTCTCATTTTTCCTATATTTCATTGAATAAAAATGCTGTACAACATTAAACTTAACAGTGGTTTCCAGAATTTCTTTTTGCACAACCAACCCTATGCAGAAGCTTAAATAATTTTAATTTTAGGAGGTTATTGCTGAAGACTGAACTAATGCATAATTATAACAGTATAGTTAAATGACCATCAATGTTTGTGGTCATATAGTACTGGATGGCAAATGGTGTCTTATTGGGGGGTTTAAATGTTAACAGCATGCAGAATTACAAATTACAAGGAACTTGACTAGAATGGAATGGCATCTCAAACATTTTAAATTCTGGATCTTCCATGCTGCCTCCTAAAAGTTTGGTAGCAGTAATTTTGCAAAGAAAATTTCTATCTATATACTGTAGTCCATTTTTCACAATGGCCATGCACTGCAGGAAGCTTTTGTGTACAGTATGCCATTGACTGTATGACAACACTTACTTTTGAATACTTGACATATGCATGCAAAGCCTTGCATAACTGCCTGTAAATGGTTGTCCACTTGCATTGCTTCGACCTCATGAATTGCAGCTTGCCTCCAAGATGAATCAAACAAAAATTCATTTTCACCTGATTTCATCTACAAAATTGTCTTGATGCATTCCAAACTAGTCCCCATGTACTGTAATAAAAAACCAGATCTCTTTTAATAAAACGTGTCTATCCTTGCTTTCAGATAATTGAAACAAAAGTTCAAGTACCGTATCTGTATCCAGGAAGCTTTTTATTAAGGCCAAGAATATCACCACTTAAAATTTCCTTTTATCCTTCTTACCTGTCCTCCCAACACAAATGCTTGTTTCCCTGACTGGAAGGTTTCCCAACTCAATTTTTCAATGGACCCTTAAAGTTTTACTTGCAAGGGTGTAACTAGTAGAAAAAAAAATCCGCACTGAAGAAATGACAAAATTGGTACGGCCAATCAAAGTTGAGAGCTGTTTTTTTTACAGGGTTCACTCCACACGAGAATTGCTGCATTGTAACAACTTGGCAAGAAATGCCAAGCCATCGTTTACACGTGAATAGCTTTGCTGAAGGCAAAAAGCTAAGAGTCATAAAGCCTTACAATTAAACAAAAAATCCAACTCAATGCGTTGCACGAAAAGTAATAGAGCGCACGTAATCGACTGTCGAAACATCACAGAGTTCGCCTGACTGGGATCCATTAAAGTATCGCTATTACAGGGATACCGAGACGACAAGACAAGGTTGAAGTCTTGCACTTGCGTGGAGCTTCATCACCATCTCAGCAATTAACCTCGGGTTAAAGTACTTTTTCCCCCACAACCAAGGCCAAATTATTCCAGAAATAAAAAAACTCAACTCGCAAAAGTTGGCTTTAACAAATTTTTCAACTTTTTTTTTCTTCGCCTCCAACACCCGACACTTTTTCCGCGAATTTTTTTGTTTCATCATATACATATCACTTCATATTTTCTTCTCACGGGCAAATAAAAAGAAAGAAAACAGGAAAGTCAGGACAGACGCGCGGGGAGAGTCATAAATAAGCCATAGAACCTCGTCGCGACACGCCATGGAACACTAGCATACAATGATCGGCATATATTCCCTGCGTGCCTCGATTTCTTCAATTTTCTTCGAGAAAACTGTTCTTCTTTCACAGAGACTGAGAGCAAAAAAAAATTCAAATACCCCCCACTGACTCTCACGAAGCGGAATGGTCACGCCCAAGACAACACACCCTGCCCCTTCACCACCACTGTTTTTTCGCGAGAAATACTGCGAGAAATGCACCGCAACTGAATCCCAATGCTGACGAACATCACGCGCCGGATGGCACCGGAAACAAAAAATAAAATAAAAAAAACACACCCACGGAACAGAACCCTTACTAATATCACAGGACTGGAAGCAAAACCCGACTCCCAGGTTCCAGCTCGGCCCGTGAAGGCCTCGTCAAGCGGAGCGAATAATTGGCGCTGTTATACTAAGTGACCAACTGAAGCATGTTTTTTTATCTTTTCTTTTTTCAGTACAACAACCAACTGCGCTAAATATGTGTATTGCTGTAAGAGAGCATGTGACCAACCAAACACACGCTTCTCGTTAAATTGCAACCCTGAAAAATAAATCATTTTCGTCTCCCCATTTACCGTAAGACACTGAAACTGGTCATGAATTTCTTCAACTTGTGCTCAATAATATTTGTGTACTTCCAACTCAGGTCTGACCCTCGAAATAACAGAATTACGCTTCCCTTCTCAACAACCCTGAAATGAAGACAACTTCATATTAAAATTTACATTCGACGGTTAACGATGAAATTAAAATCGTTTTTCACTCTCTCAACACCACCACTATTTCATCACAGGAAGGAATGGCTGGTCACAGTTTATAATACGTTGGTCAGGTACCGTGACGTATTCAACCGCAAGGTGTCAGTCCCACTTCGGCAGTTAGTCACATACTACAACAGAACCGAACGATTTCCAACTCGAAACACACACACACACACATTCACACTGAAGAACAAATAAGGGCCCGATCAAATAAAAAAAAAAACATCCCTCCAACGTGCGTGTTTTTTTTCTTCGAAAAAAATAATAAAAACCCTCGATCACAAAATAAAAACAAATCCTCCTCCTCCTCCACTTTTCTTCGAGGAATTTTTCTTGCAAAAAACGAACCCACTCCACGCTATACACGAAAAAAAATTATTCGCACGTTTTACAAACAAAATATCTGAAAGACGACTCGACTATTTCCTCCACACACGAAAAATTCCGCTTCCTCCCGATATAAAGAAAAATCACGCGTCCTTCCGCCGAAATGATAAATTTTCTTCTTTTTTTTTTTCTTCCGAAGAAAAGATTCGCCAAAACTCCGCAGGTCTGAGATCTTTCTCAAAACACCAATTTTCTTCATTTTTTTTTTCTCTTCGGCAAGCAAAAGAAAAAATAAAAGCCTTCTTCCCGACCTTGTACTTGACGCCGAGCAAAATAAAAAAGGGAGTCGCAGAATATGGAGTGAAATATGAGCAACTCGGAGGTCAAAATATTGTAGTGATATTCCATACTTTTACCAAATTTGTTTTCATAACGCCACGAATGCCCCGCAAATTTTATCCAACCAAAACTCCGCGGAAAATAAAAATGCTCTTGTACCTTTTCCCAGAAGCAGTACCTTGCAACGGTCCATTCTGTTATGCGGCTGCGTGTCTCGAATAAACTCACGTCCTCTGCTTCTTTCCTTTTGGTATCACAGTTTTCCCTCCCGCCCCAAAATATATATACTGTATATAAAAAAAAAACAGGTCAAGCCTTTTCAAGGGGGGGGGGGGGGGCAGCCACAGCTGGGGGGGGGGGGGGGGGGGGCAGTCACAGCTATGAAACCAAGCTTTTCTTCGTTGCACCTTCTTTCTTTTTTTTGTGCCTCCCACTGAAACACAATTGAACCTGGAATGACATCCCATGGAGTGGGGGAGAAGAAGAAACGATAACAGATGGATGGATGATGCGGGGCGAGGAATATAAGAACAATTCTCTCAACAGTATTCATTCTGTGACTGCCTCAACACCTAGAAAAATACGACGGTTCCATTTCCCCCTTTTCGACAAAAGAAGAAGAAGAAGACGAAAAGGGAAAACCCCACCTCAAGATCTGCTTTTCAAGCCTCGGCTCGACCCCCGCGTCTTTTGTTGGAAAAAGACGGGGGATAAAACAACAGACACACAAACACACTGACAACACTGATGCCGGTAATCGTCATACCCTCGACACGTTTTTCTTCTTTCCTTCCCTCCGAGCACAAACAAAAAAGAAAAGAAAGAAGAAAACAATTCCACCACGAAGATCGTCGCTGTTGTCGTCGTCGTCGTCGTTGTTGTTGTTGCTGCTTTAGGCGCATGGCATCCACGAGTTTGGGAAGATGAAGAAGCCTGAGGGGTAATAGTAGCCGGGCTGGTGGTGGTGGTGGTGGTGCGGGTAGTAGTAGGGGTCGTAGGGCTTGTAGTAGTGGTGGAACTGGTCGTGTGGTCTGTACTGGCACGCCAGTTCTTCAATGAGGTTCAGCGTGGACTTGCGCTCGTGGCTCATCAAGCACACCGTGGATTCGTCCACCACTCGGTGCAGAGTCATGAGGTACTGGTATCTGCAAGTGACAAATTGAAAAAAAGGATTTTTCAAAAATTTGACACACTCATCACGATTTCGTCATAATCATGACAACCATCCTCTAAAAAAAGGCGGAAAATACACAGAACTTTAGATCAATTTGTCCGATTTTTGAATACCCCAAACAAGGAAAAAATCGCAGGCTTGAGGCGTTTTCAAAATAAGCTACTTCACATCTCTCGAAAAAAAATTGAGTTACAGTAGAATTCCGTTACAACGAATCTCTATATATCGAATAATCCAATACAACAAAATCTCTCTTTTTTCAGGTCCATGCCCAATAAATAGCCACAATGTAAAATGCGTTACTATATAACCAGTTTTTCACTGCCACAAAACAAATTTTACTGGTTCGTTCTAACAAGGAACATGTGATTGCTTAATGAAAAATCCCCACTGAAGGCAGGCACAGTCTTAAATTTCCCATTCAAAATCTGACTGCGACTTGTTCTTGGGACATACGGTGGAACCAAGGATAAAAATGATTCAAAATCCACCTGAAAAATTCATCTTTCAAAATTTTTTCCTGGGTTAGGAAAGAAGGAGGGGTACATGAAACCCCACAGTAGTCAAAACATTTACTGCTGATGCTGTTGCAGCACGCACCCACCTAAGAGACGGCAAGAGCTCGTCGTCCTCTTCCGCAAAGTGGTCCCAGAGGTAGCACTCGAGCTTGAGCCGCTGCTGGCCCAGGTCCGGGAAGTCGATAAAGAACCTGGAACACATGTACCGCTCCAGCGTCTTGATGCGTCCGGGCTCCGCTGCCCGGTACCCGCGCACCAGGAGGTTGCAGTACTTGAGCAACCCGCCGCCGCGGATCTCCTCGGGGCACTGGGTCGCAATGAGCTTGCCGTGCAAGTGGGCCAGGCTCTCGGCAAAGTCGCCGTACATGGACTCGCCGACGACGGTGGGGTAGAAGTTGGTCGCCATGGGCACCACGGACGCGGCGTGCTCGTAGAAGAGCAGCAGGGAGTCGAGCAGGATCTGAAACGAGTCCACGGAGAACTGGAACTGCCGCTTCATGCTGTCGACGAACTTGAGCTCCACGTTGCGGCCGCGGACACGGGACAACGAGATCAGCGACCACCTGTCGCCGCCTTCGCCGCCAGTCACCTTCACCAACTTGTGCACGTATCTGCGCAAAAGGAAGGAAAAAAGAGTCAGTCAGTCAGTCAATCAATCAATCAATCAATCATCATCATCATTACTGTATTCCTTTTCTTAAAAAGAATTACAGTCGAACCCCGAGATGCGGACGTACGTACACAGTAATTGGTTCTTGGGCCTTAATGTCCCCAAATTTCAGATCACGTTTTCCCCATAGACTTCAATGCAAAGATTTTCAATTGGCTCCTTCTGTTTATCAAAAATTAGAAATAACTCCCCAAAAAAATGATAATGAAAATTGTTTCCCTCAACTTAAAAATACAGATTACAACTATGCAGTAGAAAACCACACAGAATCTGATCTTCATTTTGCCATCAAAAAAGAGCTAAAAAGGAGAGAAAAATAATAATTCTTGCTATACTGCGCACATATGACAGAAAAAACTCTGAAAAGAGAAGCACAAAATCAGCCCGTTTTTTGATTATGGATTCGAATACACTAAAATGTTAATTAACTTCAATTATTGTACATTAAGATTACTCAGTTCGTTCAAGAGACATAAAAAAAAAAATATTCTGTAAAAATTCTGCCTAAGTGTTCGTAGTTCGAGAAATTGCGAGGATTTTGGGGGAGATTTTTGTTGTTGTTTCAAGTGCCCCAAAGTCGAATCGTCCGTACGTCGGGGTCCCACTTATATATCATCACCGAGATACACGTGAACTTATGAACCGGTGAAATTTGGACTAATTTCTTTTACGTCTACAATATTTAAAATATACGTTGTTATTATCATCAAGAACTGATTCTGCGCTTGTGCAAAATTTGAGCTTGCTTCATATGCAGGAAATGTCCATCAGAGACTTGACAAGATTTTCCTCCTTTTTGATTACGGTATAGCATTGTATCACAAATAAAAAATCGAAATGGAAATTTTTTTTAAACTACCGTACTGCGCTGCATATTACGGTACCACTTAACCAACTTCTACGTATACCCGAGAATACATCATAATAATCACTGCCATTCCAAAAAATAAAAAGAGGCGGGAAGAGTAACACTTAAATTTACACGATTGCTAATTCGACCAGGAAAGCAAAATTTTCTGAGCTCGAGCATTTTTGAAAACCAGTCGTTCAAAAAAACACAGGGCTTTATGCAGTAACCGGAAATTCGTAGGGTTGTAGGCCCAGAATGAATTCACGATTATTCTTCTTTTCGTTCCCCCGAAGAAAAATGCTCGTTTCTCCATCTCGAATTCTTCAGCTGGTCCCTTTTTTTCCAAGTTGTACTCGGAGAAGTTCGACACTGCATTATTCAAAACGACAGAACAAAAAGCCAGACAAAGAAAATAAACTACTCACCCTTCTTTAATAGAGCACACAGAGAGACGATTCCGGTCACGGCGCTCGGCTTCGGGGAAGAAGTCAAGCAGAGACTCGAGCGTGGCGGTTTTGACCTTGTCAAAGTTGCGCTGGTGCGACAGGTCGACAGCAAAGATCAGGTCCAGGTCATTGTACGGATGCGAGGATGACGAAGACGTCGATGATGTCGACATCGACGAGCTGAATGGGCTCCTCGTCCCTTCCCGTCCCGACGACGAACCTGTTGCCGAGATAAGGAAATAAGGAAATCGAGACCAACTCGATCCCGAAAAAGGATAAAAGAAAAACAAAAATCTCGAGGCAAAACCTAACTAGAAACCGTTCCAGTCATAAAAAAAAAAATTTTGTGGGGGCATCCAGAACAGTCGTATTTTAAAATCCCAGCACATAAAACATGGCCTTAGAAGGTCATGTTTTAACTAATTATCCATTCATGAAGAGAGAGAGAGATAAAAAAACCCCACATCTTCCCACTGAGGACAAGACTAGAAACAATTATGAACTCATCAAATCCGCCAGAAGGGATCCGTCTGAAGGAAGGGGGATCAAGTGCGCATATTAAATGACTTCTTGGGTGGTCTTTTCAGTCCCAAGAACCAATGAAAACCAATTTACAAGAATGGTTCACGGACGAAGTTCGTCAGTGCAATACATATTTATTTGAAATGTTGTTAGAAAGTTCCCGAAACTTTCACGAATAAAATACTTTACAGCTTCGGTTATAGTTCATTAAAAAAAGAGGCCGACACAAAATGGCAACTCCAGACAATCGTTGCAAATTATCACTCGAACGATTTGGAGCAGGGGCTTCAAAAACTCTCAATAAATGCCGTCAAAGCGAAGTGCTGTACTTAAGTTTTTTTTAAATATACAGTACGCTTAACAAAAAATAATTACCGCTAGACGTTTGAAAAACTTTCAACTCTTGATCACCACATCTCAAGTCTGTGGGTATCATAAATTATCCATGTACGCTATCTCTTTTTTTTATAAATCGTCAACACCTGGTTGAAAATGAACCTGCAAATTGTATCCATCTTTACTATTATAACTTCTTAACATGACGAAACCACTAGCAGAAACAATTTTACAAAATCAAATCAACGTGGACCACGTAGTCCACGTTGATTTGATTTTGTAAAATTGTTTCTGCTATTGGGACTCTTGAACTGAATTGAAAATTCAAAATAAAATTTTACTGATGTGCTGAAGATACAGTCGAAAGTGTTCAAGTCGAACTTCATGGCACCAGCAGAAAAATTCGAGTTGGAGAGAATTTCCGATTAGATATAAAAGGATTTTTGTTAAGGTAAGATAAAAAAAATTATGCTATAATTGTAAAAGGGTGATATTCAGTGACTTGAACTGCTTCTTAAATGAGTTGACAAGATGCTAAACTTGGAAGTAATAGTTTATTTGCCCATTCAGTCTTTCACTTCCTTCAACACACGAACACATTTTATTTGACTTTCGTCAGTAAAAGGACTAAAACAAAATACTCTCCGAAAATTCGAGTCACGGAGATTTGAGGGAGAAGGCATTCAAGTTAGGGAGGTTTACAATGCATTGTTTCCAACGGAATTCAGATAGGGACTTTAAATGAATTCTACAGACGTAGGTTCGAGTTCTCGAGTTTCAACCGCATATTTCGTTCTTCCAGAATGTGGATCTTCCAATTTTCTCGTGGCACTCAGTTGGACATTCTTGCTTTAAATTAACAACAACAAAAAACCTCGAGAGGATAAAGAGAGTGACACGTAATGTGATTCATTATCGAAAGGAAAGAAAAGAAGAAAAAAAAAGCATCCTTACATCACGGTAAAGTATTTGAAAAATTAAATTAAAAAGCAAGTCCAGGTTCCACATACCCAAGAGGCGAATGCTCTACACTTACAATACACACTCACGGAATAACCCCATTCACTCAACTCGCCGGTTCAAGGTCCCCAAAATCGACTACATTCATTACAACAATTACCATCACAATTCCCCAGTTCATAATATTCGCGTATGTGCATGTGTGTGTACAGCACACACACACACACACACACACAATGCTACAATACATCGTAGAGGAACAAAAAGGGACCCAGTGATTTGCGAATGAGTCCGTATGATATGAGGTCACGGGATCGATCCGAGACGAGCCCCAGTCCTGTGACATCGACCTAGACACACACATGGACGTTGCCTTGGCAGCTTTTGCCAACACGCCGGTCTTTTTGATCATTTATTAAACTGACGGCAGTTTCTCGAAGATAAAAATTTAATCAAATGCAGTTGAATCTCGTTACAACGAACTCCCAAGGACCTCACGAAAAAACCAAAAATTCGTCACATAGAGATTAATGGGCTTCAAATTTTGCGGTAAATGGGTATAATGAATACTGTGAAGCGTTCCGACAGGACAAAAATGAAAATTACAGTAATTACCAAGTATTTCTGATGAAATGAAGAAAACAATTCTGAAATAAGAGTACTATAGCCTTTTTGTTTCATTAAACGTGCATTTTGTAGTCGAAGTGTTTTTCTAGGAAAATAAAAAGCTACATGCGTTAGAAATACTGGACCGCCTATTGCATAAACTAACCAAATTATTCATTCATACCCGTCGTTTCTTTCAAATAGAGGAAGTTGCTTAAAACATACTGTTCATTTGAAAGAAAGGCATACACTATAAAATGAAGAATTTCCAATAAAAATGCATTTTTCGATCACCAAATTTTATAAATTTTGTACATGGAGTTTTGATTTTCTTATGCTGTTGGAATGCTGCACCTTGTCAACTTCTTCCAAATTTTCTAAAACTCATTACATAATTCCCATGACCAAAGTATAGAATCAGGGCAACGATTTGTTTCAAAGATTTTACGATTTATAATTGAGTTGGGTAAAAAAATGATTTTTATATCATGGCGCTTATGGAGAAACTGCTGGGAACAATGAAAATTATTCATAACGAGATTCGTTGTAACGGAATTATACTGTAAATGAAATGCTTTTCTGTGCGGGAATTTTTCTCTCACTCAAATTTTATAACTTTCGCGAGTCGACTCCGTTTACACCAAACTACACAGCACTTTCACAAATTAGATCGTCACGTAAATAATGAAGAGAACATGAATAAATATACTGTATTAAAAAGTGTATGTTCAGTAAAATCTCGTTACAACGAAACCATTGACACCAGTAAAAAAGCTTCGTTGTAACGAAAGCTTCGGTATACAGTAAGTAACTCATTCAACTTTTTGGCCATTGGACAGAGACCTAAAAAAAACGAATTGCATTCAACCGTGTAATATTTTTGAAAAAATAAAACTTAACTTTCTCATAGTTCATGTCAATGTTAATTAGCTGCGAACCAGAATATTTGAATGCCAACACTCCGCATAAATGCCCTATTTACTCGAGTAGCACGCCCGCCTCTGGTTTTCTGGCCCAAAAATTTGGATCCCGGAACATGAAGCGAACCCCATCTTCAGGAACTAAAAATGGAATAAATTCGAAAATAAAATGGATCCAAATTATAATTTCTACTTGAATCAAACCCGATTGAATTTATTTTCCAGTGTTATCATGGAAAGATAATTCATCGTTGAAAATTTCCTCAAAGATCAAGTTTTATGAACACCTAAACTTTCATCAAAATTTTGAAAAATCGTATACCCGCACCCTCTTTTCCCCCCACTTGATTTTGAAAAAAAAAAGAATATGCGCGTGGTATTCGAGTAAATGAGGTAATTCCTAAAATAAAACGTCAAAAAAATACAGAAATCCAACTTCCTGATGAAATTTTACGATAAACCATGAAGCTTCAATACAGAAGAAAGGACATTCTTGCTTTTATTCTTTCAATAGAAAAATAAATGAAAACTTGCCGGATTTCCAGGATTCATTAAAAGACTTCATGAAAGTCTCGAAGAAAAAAAAACCACAGAAAATTAGGTAGTATCCCCCAATCAGAAAAATCAACTCACGGGGCTCAGGCAATAATTACGGCAAATCACAAGGGGATAATAGTTGTGGGAAAGAGGCGGAGTCCTTGAAGATTTTTCTCTCAATCTGACTGAAAACCGTTTCATCAAGACAGACGCATTTGTTTCTTTTCATTTTTTATTATTTTCAAATTGACGCCAGTTTGGAAAATTTTTCATCAGCCGAGAGAAAAATAAATGTTGCTCCAAATCATTCGCTTTGATCTCGAGGGTGTGGAGTCGCTCAAAATGAAAATCGACAATAATTTCGATTCCAGGGACACACGACCTTCAGACACACGCACATTGATTTTTCAACTTTTTCGCAACAACTCGGACAAGAATGTCTGGGAAAATATGACTATATATATTCGTCCATTCCTGCCGAAAATTCCTTCACTCAACGATCCGACAACTATATTTTGCAAGGCCAGCAAATAATTTTGATTTCTCTAGAACAAATTTGAGTTTTTTTTTTTGGTCATGAAAATTCAATAAAATAATAGTGGAGTATAATGTTTACTCTGGATCATGATCAAAAACATGCCAATTTCGTGGTTCTCTTAGTCAGTTTTTCCATCATCTGTGTACAGTAAAGTAAGACGTCGAGTTGTTCCTTGATTGCTTTTATGGGGCTCATTTTCGTACAGTTATTTTCTGTGTTTTGAAGTAAAAAAAAAAATTCAAATTTTTGAGAATTTTAAAAAATTCCTAAAAAAAAATAACGAGGACCAATTAAATATTTTCCCGCTGAAGGCTTTGAGAGAACGTCATATGACATGCGCATGTTCCAAAAATAAGGACAAGGTCCAAAATCAGTCATGTCCGCATCTCGGGGCCCAACTGTCTGCAGGTGGACTTCTCAACAAAGAAATTCAAGGAACCCAAAAAAATGCTTTCTACAGAAAAATATCCTTGTAGACAAGTTGTAAATTTGTAGAGAGTCAACCTGTAATCATCGCAAATGTCAACGATAACGTGACCATGCGTAAAAAGGTCGGAATCAACAAAATAAATTCTTTGCAAAACATAAAGACAGACAGATAATTCGAGATCCAACGTGGTGACCTAGTGTTTCCCCGCAAACCAAAATAAGGACATTATAGCAGTAGATAAGTTCGGAAGCCCTGAAGCCCGGGAATGCCCAGCACACGAGGTAATTTTACCAAGTACTAAACGACAAGGTGGTACGTGAAGTACTTTGAAGAATAAAATAACAAATAAAAGGTGCAACCCAAGCCAAGGTTGAAAAGCCCTGCTTCAACACCAAGAAAATGCTGAGGGCATTGAAAACAAAAAAGGAACTGGAAAAAAGGTGAGACAGAGACTTTGAAAATCGACCCAGAATAGATTTCACTCGACGGCGATTACATTTGGTTGCTACGCTACCGACGCAAAACCCGCGGGGAAAAAAAAGACACCCAGGATCGATTCGCCCAGACCTTGGTTAACCCGGGGAGAAAAACAACAGCTGAAATGCTCACGACTTTCTAGTGCTACTCAAAACGAAGGTCAGTACGAGGTACTGCTTTAATTCTGCAACGTTAAATAATGAAACAGATAAAACAAAGGAAAAGGAAATAGACAACAGATAACTAGGAACAAACTGCGAAAAAGGTTTGGGTTCGTTTCACGGGCACTCCATAGAACCGGTCAGCTCGATATGAAAACACCGAAAGGCTTCAAACATTTTTGGTAACCTGCAGAAAATTGCTTTGAAAAAGAAAAAAAAAGCTCATAGAAATCATCTTAAAACAGTACACGGAACTGAACTTCATTCACGTACTGCTTAGTGCTTACACAGAGGACTTCAGGATTTCCATCAAATTCCGGGCAATCAATCCTCGCTTGTAGCTCATATAATGTAATGTACTGTACATCCGTAAAATAAAAAAAAAACCGAGATTTTACCCCTTTGTGATCAAAAAGATTTGATTCATATTCTGTAAAAAAAATCGTGATTCAAAGAACACGGAGAAAACAACAATACCCTGTACATTGCATTTAAGGAAGTGTGTCTGTTCGTTTTCTTTTACTATGCACAGTACCTTTTGATACAGGTATCAGTCAAATTATTATTTTTTAACTGGAAAATAGAAGAACAACTGTTCAAATGCTTCTTCCCCTTTATAAATAAAATCGGGGTTCCACACAACTCAACTCAACTGATTTTATCGAGATTTTGACGTTGCAAGAATTCATCTTAAACATTCAGACAATTTCATTACGATAAGATTAATTGAAAAATCGAGCTCAAATTTCAGTTTAATTTATAACATTACAGAAAGAGTGGGACTGAAGAATTCTACCTCGACATCCAGACACTTCGGATCAGAAAAAAAAGTTAAAAATGGTTATTTTCAAAATTTCGATACCTTTCGAGCAAATGCAACTCTTTCGTATGTGAAATATAGTTAGACCTCTTCAATTAAAATTTCAAGGGACAAGCAAAAACAAATCAAGTTAGGAAAAAGCGCAATTTTTTATTGGGGGGGGGGGGAGAAAGAATAAATGCAGAAAATTTCAATTCGTATTATCAGCAAAATATTGCGTCTTACATGAGTTGTTGAATGTTAAACACATCAGGTTACATTTTTTCTTTTCTTTTCTGTAAGTCAATAAAATGATAGCCAAGAAGTCCTCCAGAAAATTTAAGTTGTAGGGGGTTTGAGAGGGAAAATCTTGAAGTTGGACAGATTTTCAATACCGTACATTTTTACTACTGCAATATAATTCAGACAGAGTCTTGGAAAATAAAATTGAAATTGGGAGTTATTTGACTTCGTGAGGTTCGCGTTAATGAGTTTCAACTGCAGTCAAAATATATATTTTTCTTTTAACTGCATTCTAATACATAATCCAAAACAGGCTAATTCGTAGGTTCTTCATTTTAGGGCCTTTTTCATTCATAAATTGTGCACAGTTCAGGAAACTCCCTTTCATGCCATAGGCAGATTCTTCATACAGTAGTTTTATTCCGCATAGACCTTTTGATGCATCTTGGAAAATTGATTTTGTGAATTTATCGGGGACCATTTTTCATTTTCATTTTTGTCCAGCAGGAGAAGTGATTGAAAATGTTCCCATTGGAGTGTTTTGGGTGATCCCATATACGGATATAGTCTGACAAGCACTGTGATGAAATTAGCATTCCGGAACCCAACTCTTCCATCAGTTTCCAAGTTTTGCTCGTGAGACAAAGAGTTGAAAAACGGGTCCTACCTTCAGAGTTGGCGGTGCTGAGGTGGTCGTCGTTGCTGAAGCCGCTGTCGTGCGAGAGGTAACTGGCGGTACTGCCGCCGCCGCCGCTGCCTCCAGACGCCGTACTTCCTCCTCCACCGCCGGAACCACCACCACCACCTCCAACCCCTCCTCCGCCGCCGCCACCACCTCCACCACCGCCGACGACGTCAGAAAAGGCGTCGTCTTCCGGCGACAACAGCACGTAGCTCGCGGCGCCGCCATTCAGCCGAATGTCCCGCACGCGGACGCCGTTCTCCTCCAACTTGGATCGCACCACCGACACAAAGTCCTTGAGTCGCACCTCCAGCGTCGGGAAATTCCCGCGGCCGTGGATCGGCACCGGCTTGTTCATCACTTCGTCCAGTCTTTGCACCTGTCGCAACAACAACAACAAAAGACGAGAGATTATTAAACGATCATCAGAACTGTACTGTACAAGCAACCTTTGAATTAATGGCCCTAGCCTAGAGCCACAAATTTCCACGAGGAAAAGAGAAAAAAAAAACTCCCTTTACTGCGCCCTCAAAAGGGAAACCCCGATTTAGTGTCAACTCGGGCAATCCGACAACAAAAATGCCTCGTCCTGGATGAGAAAAGGGCCAAAATCGAAGAATTGTCACGAAGTTTTCCTACGGATGCCATTGGATAATCACATGGTCATGCTCACATAAAAAAGCAGACAATTTTCGATCATGCTACAGTCGGAAGTCTTCAAGTCGAACTTCAAGGGACGAGGAGAAAAATTCCGAGTTAGGGTAACAGGCATTATTGTTACGGGGAAAATAGAAGAATCGCAAGAGATTATAAATGGTGATATTCTGGGCCTCAAACTGCCTGTTAGATGATTTCAGATGAGCATTTTGTCTTTAATTTCTTTTCAGAAAGCAGCCTCATTTGTATTGCTTTTCTCTTTCGTACGTTGATAAAATAATGAGCCAGAAGGTTTCAGAAAATTCGAGTAACGAAGGTTTTTTAGAGGAAAGCCTTCGACTTGAAAACAATGCATTAAATATACCTCAAAGGGAATTCAGACAGGGGCTTGGAAAAAATTAGGGAGCTTCGAGTTATCAAGGTTGAACTGCACTTCTGAATTCAAATTGCAGGAAGAACTTTTTTGTGCTGCCTTTTTACTTGAAAATTTCAGGAATAAAGTGAGGCTTTCCTGGAAATACTGCTCACAGCTGTATTAAGACATTTAATATAAAACCTAAACAAAACTTCAAGAAAGAGCTCTTCTCTTTTACCACAGACAATATGCGTAACAATCTGACAGCGTATTCCATCATATAAAATATTGTATACTGGAACACAGTATAAAAAGTGCATTTGAGAGTCACATCATTTCTCATGGCTTTCTCTCTGATGAAACAGACTGTATCTCAATACTGTTATTCCATGAACAAGCTTCTTCTGCCAACAGTACAGATCCTCACCTGGACCATCGTCCAATACAATAACCATAATTCAGTTCCATTCTCGCTTATTGTCACAAAATGTGCTCCAAATCGAAATTTGAACGATTCGACGAACACAAAAAAAAAACAGCAGCGAAACCATAACGGCTTGAAATTAAAAAGACAAGAACGGGCACTAGCTTTAAAACCTTGCTAAAAATATATATTTCAAAATAAATATGTCTCGTTCATTTCCTTGAAATCCGCGGTAAAAATGCCCTTTACTCCAAGGCGAAGAGAAGCCACAGGTTAAAAAAAAAACACGGAAATTTGAAAAGAAATTCAAGGCATCAACACGTTCACCAACGTTCGTTTTTATTCTTTCGACAGTAGAAATCGTGCAAAAATGTTTTTCTTTTCAGGGAGTCAAAATGATCCGATCTCAATCAAAATGCATAATTCGGAGAGAAATCGAATTATTTTTACGATACAAAAAAATGAGGAGACACAAAACCTTTCCGCAATACGTTTCTCAATAAAACACTGCATGAGACTTTACGATTCAATGACCACAAGCAGGAAAGCAATCAGGATTGCGGTGCATAACAGAAACAATCTTGGATTGATGCAAAATATACGCTCGTAAATTCGCAACGCACAAGGACGAAATGAATGATTCCCAATGATCTTTCAAGCGAACAAAAGAAGAGAAAAAAACGGTACGCTAAATCGGAATATCGCGAGAAAAAAAAATGTATTCAACGTGGAGGAAAAATATTTTTTATTGGTTCAGTTCCTTCGCAAGAAGTCCCGACGAAAGTTTTCCATTCGTCGCTGTTTCGACAAGGCTTGAACTTTACTACATCAACGAAAAAACGTCATTGGGATTCAGACTGACGTCGTTTTTCTTATCGGGAAAAGAAAACACTTGGGCGATGATACTCGGGAATAGACACGGTCTCGAAGGAGTAAATACAGTAGGAGAAAGAGCAAGTGTCCAAAAGAGGCGAAAAGAACCTCCCACTTAACCTTGAATACTCCGAATCTAACCGGATGCTTTCCGATTGCAACAGCTTCAATGTTGTCGTAAACTCAAACGAAAACCCTCGAAAGTGTAAAATACAGTTGTAAACTAAGCAATTGCGGTTTCACTCCTCTCCTGAAATTATTGGTACGTAATATTTCCTTTCAAACAACTGAACCACTAAGAAATGGTCTAGTGTCTGATAAGAGGATCCTTCAAAAATCGAAAAATAAAACAAGATTGGATATAAGAAAGAAAAACTGAAGGACGGAAATTACAGTGACCCGAGAATAATACTACAGTACTTCTTCATTTATTTGCACCAAGGCGATATCATAAACTTTCCTCAATACAGTTGAACCTCAGTAAGTCGAATTTCTAGGGACCAGAAAAAACATTTGACTTCGGGAGGTTTTGATTTTTGAGGTTTCCAGTTGAGGAAACAAACACTTTCCTTGAGAATAGAAATTAAGAAAGTGTGGGAAAATCGTAAATGAGGATGTTCTGAGCCCAAACTTGCTCCCCAATGAGTTTACACCTTGCTGAACTTGGAGGCAGGGGTTCATTTGCTATATTTCTCCTTCAATTCCTTTCAAGATACATCAAATTATTTGTTTTAATCATTTTCTCTTTCATATTTCCAGGAAATAATAACCAGAAGGCCTCAGAAAATTCGACTTAGAGAGGTTTTAGAGAAAAATACTTCAAGTTAGGGAGGTTTTTAATGTATTGGTTCCAAGGGAATTTAGACAGGGACTTTAAAAAAAATGCAACTTAGGGAGGTTTGACTTATCAAGGTTCACCTGGATTTTGTTGTTGTAGAATACATCAGTAACACCAAAACAAATGGTTTCAGGCTTACAGTTCGTCAATACTCAAGAATGGTATATACAATATTTATGTCATCAATCAGGTGCAAAGAGCCACTTGAAATTCCGCGTAATGTACTACAATACAGTATCTCGAATTTTAAGATTTCATCAAAAACGGTGGTTGAGAATAAACCGAGGCCTTATATAACCCGGAAATACTTACATAAAGAAATACCGAAGTGATTTCCGCACTCATTTCATGCCACTCATCAGCCGTTCAATTGCCTCGGCTTCCAAAACCATTCCATCTAGGTACATAATATTCACGACATTTCTCCCGACTTCACTGGTCTTGTGAACACGGGATTCATTTCATTTTTGAAAGATTATTTTTGTAGATGCCAACATTTCAGTGTACAGTACAGAGATACACTATTCAATGCTCCAACTCTTCTTATTGAGTTGAAAATATATTCACTGAATCAAATTCAAGCGACAAACAATTTTTTTCATGGAATTCTGAAGAATATTTCTTCCATAAAACATCAATCAAAAATTAAATAATGCAAGTCTATGGGAAAACAAGACTCGACTTAGGGACACACTTGATGCACCAATTACGTCCACATCCGGGGGTCTCTCTCTTCTTATTTACATGTACAGTAACTCGAATGGTTCGTTATGCATCACGACAGTAAAAATCACTGCGGGTACAGTATTCAGTATTGAAATCACGCCTCGGGCCCATGAGTCAAGGGCACGGCGGAACTGTATAGGTGGTACCTCGCAATTCGACCCCGATCCGTCGCCAAACTAAGGTCGAATTGCGAGACACTCTGTAACAATTTAAAAATTCAATTACAAAAACGCAAAAAAAATTGGAAAATGCAGGTCGAATTGTGGGAAGTGGAATTGCAAGTCAACCTCACTGCAAATTCGACCGTCGAATTGCGAGGTACCACCTGCATCAGGGTTCACATGAGGATGCACGAGTAGCGAACTAGAGTACTGTTTACGGATGGTTCAGGAACCGGATTCATACCGAGAACTACGATGGCATATAAATTTTTTTTCCTTTTTTTTTACAAACATACACAATCACTTCATCATTTGACGCGACGCTTCGGATGCACAGGTCTCAGCGAGGAGAAGTTGCGACTCGTCTGGAAATTATTATTTTTTTAGACTGCAGACAGACGATGAATCTTACCATCCTCGACTTTTTTTTTCTTCAGCTGGTATGAATTGGTTTATTCAAGCATTTTTTTCATATTCAATTGCGATATACACTGCAGTATCTTTATCTCAAATTGAACTCAGAACGCAAGTAAACGTTGCAAGACAAGCCAAAAATGTACTGAACAGTACTGGATTCAATCAAATTTGATTCAAGGTATCAAACTGTTCTTACGAATTACGAATTTTCCATTTCAATATACTGTACAGCAATTTTTTTCGCAACCTGAACTCAGAACGAAAGTTAAATGTCAAGACAAAAGTTAAAGAAAAGCCAAAAAATGTACAGCAATGCATCCGAAAAAAAAATTTTGATTCAATGTATCAAACCGCGTTTAAGGAATTCCGCACTAATTGAGATGCAGAGTACATTTTTTCTTCCAATTTGAACTCAGAACGAGAGTAAAATGTCGCAAGATAAACCGAAGAATGCACAGTACTGTACTCGACTCAATACTCTTTGATCACTTCGAAACTCCACCGATGATGATCGAAAATTGAAATGTTGGCAATCAACTCACGCTTCATGAGTTGAAATGAATGACTCTAGAGTTACGTAAGGTAGCCACACAAAAAATAAACTACAGTATGCCAATAATGTATTGCATATGCACAAAAAAATGAATGCCACGTTACAATCAACCAAAAAAACTAACTAAATTTTTTAAACGGTCTGTTTACAAATGAGAAAAAACACAACGAGATTCTTTCATGGAAAAAGCAATTGAATAAAATACTGTACTGCTTTCTAGAGTTTCCCATCACTTCATTTAGCATTGGTTTCTCAAGCATGACGCTCGTTACGAAAATTTGGAATACCATTTTACGATTAGGGTTACGACCTTGGCATAAATTCTCCAACGTAGAAAAACTTAACTTCGAATCCATGCGGTTTCACGTTCGTCTGGTGAAAAATAAATTTCGCGTCTGCATCAAATGAATAGTCAAACCAATTCTTCTTTTT